CTCTCCATTCAGAGACATCAGTACCAAGCCCGTCTGTCAGTACCAGGTCTCTCTCCATTCAGAGACATCAGTATCAAGCCCGTCTGTCAGTACCAGGTCTCTCTCCATTCAGAGACATCAGTATCAAGCCCGTCTGTCAGAGTGTCAGGTCTCTCTCCATTCAGAGACAGTATCAAGCCCGTCTGTCAGTACCAGGTCTCTCTCCATTCAGAGACATCAGTACCAAGCCCGTCTGTCAGTACCAGGTCTCTCTCCATTCAGAGACATCAGTATCAAGCCCGTCTGTCAGAGTGCCAGGTCTCTCTCCATTCAGAGACATCAGTATCAAGCCCGTCTGTCAGTACCAGGTCTCTCTCCATTCAGAGACCTCAGTATCAAGCCCGTCTGTCAGTACCAGGTCTCTCTCCATTCAGAGACATCAGTATCAAGCCCGTCTGTCAGTACCAGGTCTCTCTCCAGTCAGAGACATCAGTACCAAGCCCGTCTGTCAGTACCAGGTCTCTCTCCATTCAGAGACATCAGTACCAAGCCCGTCTGTCAGAGTACCAGGTCTCTCTCCATTCAGAGACATCAGTACCAAGCCCGTCTGTCAGTACCAGGTCTCTCTCCATTCAGAGACATCAGTACCAAGCCCGTCTGTCAGTACCAGGTCTCTCTCCATTCAGAGACATCAGTATCAAGCCCGTCTGTCAGTGCCAGGTCTCTCTCCATTCAGAGACATCAGTATCAAGCCCGTCTGTCAGTACCAGGTCTCTCTCCATTCAGAGACATCAGTACCAAGCCCGTCTGTCAGTACCAGGTCTCTCTCCATTCAGAGACCTCAGTATCAAGCCCGTCTGTCAGAGTGCCAGGTCTCTCTTCATTCAGAGACCTCAGTATCAAGCCCGTCTGTCAGAGTACCAGGTCTCTCTCCATTCAGAGACACCAGTATCAAGCCCGTCTGTCAGTACCAGGTCTCTCTCCATTCAGAGACATCAGTACCAAGCCCGTCTGTCAGTACCAGGTCTCTCTCCATTCAGAGACATCAGTACCAAGCCCGTCTGGCAGTCTGGCTCCAAACATGTTTCTGTGAACACATAGTCACTGTTCTGTTACCAAAGGCAGTTAGGAGAGGTGATATATGACATACAAACAGGTACTATGTTGAAGTTTGAACAGGTCAGACTAAACCTGCCTAATTCTGGTCTCCCCATCCACAACCGTTAGTTAGCAGGCAAGAGGTGAGGCTGGTGGAACCAACCTGATCGCTGCGTTGACCTTTCTATTTCTCTTCAGATATCATAAAATGTGAAGTGAAATAGAATGGTGAACACAGCGACCAGGCTGGTTCCACCGGGCTAGGTTATGCCCTGGACATTATATGGAGAACCCAGTGATCAGGCTGGTTCCACCAGGCTAGGTTATGCCCTGGACATTATATGGTAACACAGTGATCAGGCTGGTTCCACCAGGTTAGGTTATGCCCTGGAGGTAATATGGGAACACAGTGATCAGGCTGGTTCCACCAGGCTAGGTTATGCCCTGAAGGTAATATGGGAACACATTGATCAGGCTGGTTCCACCAGGCTAGGTTATACCCTGGACATTATATGGTAACACAGTGATCAGGCTGGTTCCCCCAGGCTAGGTTATACCCTGGACATTATATGGTAACACAGTGATCAGGCTGGTTCCCCCAGGCTAGGTTATGCCCTGGACATTATATGGAGAACACAGTGATCAGGCTGGTTCCACCAGGCTAGGTTATACCCTGGACATTATATGGTAACACAGTGATCAGGCTGGTTCCCCCAGGCTAGGTTATGCCCTGGACATTATATGGGAACCCAGTGATCAGGCTGGTTCCACCAGGCTAGGTTATACCCTGGACATTATATGCATCTAAGAAGTAGAAAATAAGCAACAAATAATGTCAGTTTACATAAATGACGTTTCACAATTGGGTTATCAAATGTATCAAAGTAATGAAGTGGTTTGTCTTCTGTAATTGTACAAATGATGAGGCTGTGAAAGCTGTTGCTGCTGACAGGTGAAGGTTGCTGGCCGGATACTTATAGGAATGCTCACAGCGAGGGCATGTCTGCATGATGCTGATGAGGTACTCCCTCGCTGGTCTTCTCTACGCTGCATGTTCAGCTGCAAACTGGACATCTCTGGAACAACTGTAGCAGGCAATCTGATAAATTGGTGTTGACAGCCAATTGGTAAATTGCATTTTGTTCTAAAGGAAGGACAAAGCTTTTTGTTAATGCACTTCACAACCAAAACGACTCTACTAGTTGTATCTTCTTTGCTGGGGAATTAACCTACTAGTTTGTCAAACCGGGTAATTTTTTATAAAAACTTTTCACATAACACATATCACCTGTCGTTGTTGATGAAGCCATCTGTGTCATCAGGGCAGTAACTCGGGTCACTATCAGAGGCCTCATGATGGCGTGTCCTTTTCGTAGGAGTGGAGGGAGACACTGGCAACAATGGAGGACGTGTCATTGATATAGTCCCGACACAAATCTAGGGTTGCTACCCAAGCCGGCTGGTCGTACGTTCTGTCGGTTCAATTACCAGAGACGCGACCCAGTCGTTCAGTCTTTTTGTTCTGTATCTATGGACGCGACCCAGTCGTTCGTTCTAAATGTTCTATTGCCATACTGGCTGGCAACGTTCTTATCCCTTGCTTGCTAGCTAGCCAACTACGGCTAATTTACAGTCACGTCAAACAGTGCAGCCAGAATAACAACGAAGTAGCGGCATTTGCATTTGTTTAAGCTGTTTTCTAGTGACATTTATTTGGATACATCCATAACAATGAGCTAATGAGGTTCGATTTCACCTGGCGTAGAAAATGTGCTCTCTCGTCAGGACACTGTTGTTCCGAGGAGCTAGCCAACAACACAGCTAACACAATCACTTCAAACTGAAGCTGGAAAGACAGCAAACTAGCTGCACTTCGTTTAGTTTGACCTGTTTTCTATTGAAATGTATATATCCATAAAAATGATGCTGATTCATGATTTCGACTGGCTGAGAAACGCTGCCTGCCTGCCTGTCTCGTCCCGACTCCCGACACGTTCATTACTATGGGACAGCTGGAGATCAAATTTGAATATTGAAACAAGGTTAATACAAATCTCCGCTGTTGAAAACTAAATGTAAGTCTAAAAAGAAATGTGAGATAATGTTTAGATGCTTTTTATAGTGGAGATCAAGTTTATAAATTGCCCGGCTGGGCTGACGAGACAGTGGATTGGGCAGTCAGATGGAACAGAGTAAACAGGCATTTTAACGTCATAGATTTAGCCGGTGGTAACTTGTGGAATAGACACCGGCTGGAATGCGGTTTTAACCAATCAGCATTCAGGATTAGACCCACCCGTTGTATAAATAAATATTAATGTCTCAGCTCTTATTGCGGGACTTTGACTATCCCCTTTCATTGATCCACAATCCACAGGTAAGGGTGGACAGTGCAATATGAATGTCTAATAGGCTACACAATACTGTAGTAGGTTGACTGGTAAAGCTTAATGTGGCTCATTTCACAGTGCTTTCAGAGACATGCGATATCAGGTATAACGCTAATATTGTAAACTCGTCACAGTTGTGTTCTGTGGGTGTCACGGAGTAGACTGATACCTCATTTCATTGATCCACAATCCATAGTGGAGGCTGTACAGTGAAATATAAGTATGCCCCAAAAGCAAATTCTGAAGTGTAATCCATCACAGTGTGATTATTTTTGTTGTCTTGCCAAATTAGCTAATTATTGTATTTTGTTGAATTTATATAACAACATTCCAAACTTGTTTAGCATTATCTAGTCCAAATATGGCATCATTCCACTATTGGTATCCATTTGCATCACTTTCAATTAGGGACTTCTATGATGAAGGCGAACTGCAAATTCCTCTATTGTGGCTGACCCGTATCGATGCCACAATAGGCCGTTTTCAAAGGGATTAGTAGTTTTTTAGGGACAGTCGCTCTTTAAACTAACAAGCTGAGTTTAACCAGCTCAATCATTTAACACAGTATTTATTTTTATTTCAGTTAGTGTAGGAGGCAAAGTTTCTAATTTTATTTTCGTTTTGGGTTAGTTTCAACAAAGACAGTACAGTTTGAATATAGGCAGAAACTGCTTCTCCAATAGAAATCCCTGATCAAGCTTGCAGACGATGTTGGCTATCTAAGCTCATGGGCAGAAACACCTCATCAGGTCTAACGGCGGTGTGGGTTCGCTAGCAAACCTCTGTCAGACTCTGCTGGTATGACTTGATAGCGGTGGTTAGCTAGTAAGCGAGTCAAGACAAGTAAAAGTACACATAGTTATCCAGAATGATTTGAGTCAGGATGCAGTCAACGGGCTGCTGCTTGCCTGTTTGTTTACCTCACTCTCTTTTAGCCTTGTGTTGCCGTACCTCTTTCTCCTCTAGCTAATGACACGTTCTCCATCCTCCCAGATTCTTTATCATCAAGGAGAGTTTCCTGCTCTACTATGCCGAGAATGAGAAGAGGAGCTTTGAGACCAACAGATACTTTAATATCCACCCCAAGGTGAGCCTTAGTCAACATGGTGCACGTGTTAACCTCAAAATCAAACCAAATCAAATTTTATTGGCCACATGCGCCGAATACAACAGGTGCAGACATTACAGTGAAATGCTTACTGACAGCCCTTAACCAACAGTGCATTTATTTTTAACGAAAAAAGTAAAAAATAAAACAACAACAAAAAAAGTGTTGAGGAAAAAAAGAGCAGAAGTAAAATAAAATAACAGTAGGGAGGCTATATATACAGGGGGGTACCGGTGCAGAGTCAATGTGCGGGGGCACCGGCTAGTTGAGGTAGTTGAGATAATATGTACATGTGGGTAGAGTTAAAGTGACTATGCATAAATAATTAACAGAGTAGCAGCAGCGTAAAAACGTTTTTATTTTATTTTGTTTTATTTATCCTGTTGTCCAATGTGTCTGTCTGTCTCAGGGTGTGATCCCGTTAGGAGGCTGTGTTGTGGATCCTAAGGAAGACCAAGGCATGCCTTTCGCCATGGTTATAAATCACGAGGACTTCACTGTAAGCACTTAGTCGTACTGTTGCTTTAATAATAGATACTTGAAATCTGCATCTCTGTATTATTAGGCAGTTACTGTATATGTCGTGATGATGCTGTAGTGTGATGTATGCTACTGTTTGTAATAAAAAATAAATTACAATTCTAGTCATTAGCATCAGTGCATACATTTTCATACTTTTTTATTGTTCGTACTGGTCTCCCCGTGGGAATCGAACCCACAACCCTGGCGTTGTAAGCGCCATGCTCTACCAACTGTGTCGCATGGGACGTATGCATGATGTGATGATAATGTATGCTACTGTATATTACCATGTGATGATAATGTATGCTACTGTATATTACCATGTGATGATAATGTATGCTACTGTATATTACCATGTGATGATAATGTATGCTACTGTATATTACCATGTGATGATAATGTATGCTACTGTATATTACCATGTGATGATGCTCTATTATTCCCTCAGGGTGACATCGTCCTGGCTGCAGAGAATGAGGCAGAACAAAACCAGTGGCTGGAGATGCTGCAAGAGTCTGGCAAAGTGTGAGTCACTATTTACTACCCACTGTCTCTTTAAATCTAGCTGTACACAAACTACACACTGCCTCTTTAACTCTAACTGTAAACAAACCATGCACTGTCTCTTTAAATCCAATTGACCACACTGCTTCTTTAAATCCAAATCAAATCAAATCAAATTTTATTGGCCACATGCGCCGAATACAACAGGTGCAGACATTACAGTGAAATGCTTACTTACAGCCCTTAACCAACAGTGCATTTATTTTTTTATAAAAAAAGTAAAATAAAACAACAAAAAAGTGTTGAGAAAAAAAGAGCAGAAGTAAAATAAAATAACAGTAGGGAGGCTATATATACAGAGGGGTACCGGTGCAGAGTCAATGTGCGGGGGCACCGGCTAGTTGAGGTAGTTGAAGTAATATGTACATGTGGGTAGAGTTAAGCAGCGTAAAAAGATGGGGGGGGGGGGGGGCAGTGCAAACAGTCTGGGTAGCCATGATTAGCTGTTTAAATCCAACTGACCACACTGCTTCTTTAAATCCAACTGACCACACTGCCTCTTTAAATCCAACTGACCACACTGCCTCTTTAAATCCAACTGACCACACTGCCTCTTTAAATCCAACTGACCACACCGCCTCTTTAAATCCAACTGACCACACTGCCTCTTTAAATTCAACTGACCACACCGCCTCTTTAAATCCAACTGACCACACTGCCTCTTTAAATCCAACTGACCACACCGCCTCTTTAAATCCAACTGACCACACTGCCTCTTTAAATCCAACTGACCACACTGCCTCTTTAAATCCAACTGACCACACTGCCTCTTTAAATCCAACTGACCACACTGCCTCTTTAAATCCAACTGACCACACTGCCTCTTTAAATCCAACTGACCACACTGCCTCTTTAAATCCAACTGACCACACTGCCTCTTTAAATCCAACTGACCACACTGCCTCTTTAAATCCAACTGACCACACTGCCTCTTTAAATCCAACTGACCACACCGCCTCTTTTAAATCCAACTGACCACACTGCCTCTTTAAATCCAACTGACCACACTGCCTCTTTAAATCCAACTGACCACACTGCCTCTTTAAATCCAACTGACCACACTGCCTCTTTAAATCCAACTGACCACACTGCCTCTTTAAATCCAACTGACCACACTGCCTCTTTAAAATCCAACTGACCACACTGCCTCTTTAAATCCAACTGACACACTGCCTCTTTAAATCCAACTGACCACACTGCCTCTTTAAATCCAACTGACCACACTGCCTCTTTTAAATCCAACTGACCACACTGCCTCTTTAAATCCAACTGACCACACTGCCTTCTTTAAATCCAACTGACCCACACTGCCTCTTTAAATCCAACTGACCACACTGCCTCTTTAAATCCAACTGACCACATCTGCCTCTTTAAATCCAACTGACCACACGGCCTCTTTAATCCAACTGACCACACTGCCTCTTTAAATCCAACTGACCACACCTGCCTCTTTAAAATCCAACTGACCACACTGCCTCTTTAAATCCAACTGACCACACCGCCTCTTTAATCCAACTGAACACACTGCCTCTTTAAATCCAACTGACCACACTGCCTCTTTAAATCCCAACTGACCACACCGCCTCTTTAAATCCAACTGACCACACCGCCTCTTTTAAATCCAACTGACCACACTGCCTCTTTAAATCCAACTGACCACACTGCCTCTTTAAATCCAAGTGACCACACTAACTGTATTATCAGGGGTAGCTGGGGTTAAGTCTATAAGTCTACCTCTAAGTAAAGGGTCCATCTCAGAGTGGGGCTTTAGTCTCCTCAGACATGTATAGGGGAGCTGCCCAGGTCTGCAATTGTATAGTAGAATATGTGACCTACTGTTGTATAGTGTTGGTGGTGATCATGCTGTATAAAACCTATGTGACCACGCGCTGTATTAGACCTGTTCAACACGTAGTGTCTAAAACCTCCAGCACCTGGAAGAACGCCCAACTGGGAGAAGCCATGATAGAGAGCCTGGAGGCCCAGGGACTGCAGCTGGCCAAGGAGAAGCAGGAGTATCTGGGTAAGAAGAAGGGGCTGGGGACGGGGTCAGGGCTGGGATGGGCTGGGAGAAGCCATGATAGAGAGCCTGGAGGCCCAGGGACTGCAGCTGGCCAAGGAGAAGCAGGAGTATCTGGGTAAGAAGAAGGGGCTGGGGAGGCATGGGGAGGAAGGAGGCATGGGGCCTGGTTCAGGGGAGAGAGGAGGCGCTGGGTGAGAGGGGACATGGGGAGGTATGGTTCAGGGTGGCAGTCCTGAGGGGCTGGAGTGAGAGGGGACATGGGGAGGTATGGTTCAGGGTGGCAGTCCTGAGGGGCTGGAGTGAGAGGGGACATGGGGAGGTATGGTTCAGGGTGGCAGTCCTGAGGGGCTGGAGTGAGAGGGGACATGGGGAGGTATGGTTCAGGGTGGCAGTCCTGAGGGGCTGGAGTGAGAGGGGACATGGGGAGGTATGGTTCAGGGTGGCAGTCCTGACGGGCCATAGAATGACAGTCCTTTGTTGTTTAGTTTTGATGCTAACAGTCCCACATGGAGACAATGGCCATATACAACAAGGAAACAGGCTGTTTTGTCCCTTCAGATAAGCTGATGGAGGAGACAGAAGAACTGAGCCTGCAGAGAGAACAGAAGGAGAGGCTGGAGTGTCTGAACCTGGTTCTGGAGGAGGAGAAGCAGAAGTTTGAGGAGCTGGTGATGGAGCTAAGAGGAGAACAGGAGCAGATCAAACTGTAAGAGAGAACTATGGAGAACACAAACTGTGATCTTTAACAGGAAACATTCATATTACATTCATAAATAACATACAGTAATCCCCACACACGAGCAAGAAAGATGCATTTAATACATTTAAAGTGCATTTAATATAAGACGTGTAGCTAGTATATCCATCTTTATCCACCGCGTTAACTAAAGTGCTGTGAAAACTCTTAGCCATAAGACTCTTTGATCCTCTGGTCCATCTGTTGACTCCCGAGTGGCGCAGTGGTCTAAGGCTGTGCCACTAGAGATCGCAGTGGTCTAAGGCTGTGCCACTAGAGATCGCAGTGGTCTAAGGCTGTGCCACTAGAGATCGCAGTGGTCTAAGGCTGTGCCACTAGAGATCGCAGTGGTCTAAGGCTGTGCCACTAGAGATCGCAGTGGTCTAAGGCTGTGCCACTAGAGATCGCAGTGGTCTAAGGCTGTGCCACTAGAGATCGCAGTGGTCTAAGGCTGTGCCACTAGAGATCGCAGTGGTCTAAGGCTGTGCCACTAGAGATCGCAGTGGTCTAAGGCTGTGCCACTCTAAGCTGTGCCACTAGAGATCCTGGTTCGAATCCAGGCTCTGTCGTAGCCGGCCGCGACCGGGAGACCCCATGGGGCGGCGCACAATTGGTCCAGGGTAGGGGAGGGAATGGCCGGCAGGGATATAGCTCAGTTGGTAGAGCGTGGCGTTTGCAACGCCAGGGTTGTGGGTTCGATTCCCACCAGTATGGCCAGTATGAAAAAAATAAAATAATGTATGCTCTGGATAAGAGCGTCTGCTAAATGACTAAAATGTAAATGTTGTGACAGTTGGGTTTGATGCTCTCTGAACTGGTCAGTTTGGTTGCCTATTACCCTGTGTGCCGTGTTGTTGACAGGGACTTGGACGGCACAGCACAGTCTCTGAAAGGTGTGGAGTCTGAAAAAGAGGAGCTGAACAGTTTAACAACACTTCTACAGAAATCTATTGAGGTATTTAAAATGAATTGGAGGAGAAACACACACTCAGGTACACACACACACACACACACCATCGTTACATCCATGATCTGGTCCTCCAGGAGTTGTCCCATGAGAAGCAGCGAACCCTGGAGTTGCTGAGGGAGAAGGAGCATCCAGAGGAGGAGCAGGAGGTGCAGCCTGGTGACACTGGACTGCGATCGGAGCTGAGACACATTGAAGAGCAGATGAGGGAACTGCAGAGAGAGAAGGAGCAGGCTAAGGAGAGGTGAGAGGACCAGCGCAATGAGGAACATGGATCTTATTTCTGTTATTTCAGACGTGCGTAAAAACCTTCTCCTACCATATGAAAGACACACGAAGCAGTAAAACTGGTTAGAGAGGATCTGTCAAACCTCAGATCAGATGGAGCTGCATGTGACCGGGCCGGCTGGTCCACTTTCATAAATGTAGCATGCCTGTATCTGGTCACACCAGCTGACTGTCCTGAGGCTGCCTAAGAGTTTAATGAGGGCGAGAAACACCATTAAGGTGGAAATGTGCATTGATTTCCCAACAGCCAAACCAATGCATCAACAAGCACCAGTGAGTGGGATCAGGATGTGATGGGAAACTGGTGTTGACCAGAGGGCATGAGTGTTCTATAAAAAAAGAATGCAGTGTATCTGTCAATGGAGTGCCCCACTGCAGAGCTCCACCGTGAGGCCTACTGTGGGTATCTCTCAAGGCAGAGTCACGTTGAAGAGCCCCATGGGGAGGCCTATTGAGGGTTTCTATCAATGAAGGGCCACACTGCAGAGCTCCACCGTGAGGCCTACTGAGGGTGTCTCTCAATGAATGGCCTCACTGCAGAGCTCCACCGTGAAGCCTACTGAGGGTGTCTCTCAATGAAGGGCCTCACTGCAGAGCTCCACCGTGAAGCCTACTGAGGGTGTCTCTCAATGAAGGGCCCCACTGCAGAGCTCCACCGTGAGGCCTACTGAGGGTGTCTCTCAATGAAGGGCCTCACTGCAGAGCTCCACCGTGAAGCCTACTGAGGGTGTCTCTCAATGAAGTGTCCCACTGCAGAGCTCCACCGTTAGGCCTACTGAGGGTGTCTCTCAATGAAGTGTCCCACTGCAGAGCTCCACCGTGAAGCCTACTGAGGGTGTCTCTCAATGAAGGGCCCCACTGCAGAGCTCCACCGTGAGGCCTACTGAGGGTGTCTCTCAATGAAGGGCCTCACTGCAGAGCTCCACCGTGAGGCCTACTGAGGGTGTCTCTCAATGAAGGGCCTCACTGCAGAGCTCCACCGTGAAGCCTACTGAGGGTGTCTCTCAATGAAGGGCCTCACTGCAGAGCTCCACCGTTAGGCCTACTGAGGGTGTCTCTCAATGAAGTGTCCCACTGCAGAGCTCCACCGTTAGGCCTACTGAGGGTGTCTCTCAATGAAGGGCCTCACTGCAGAGCTCCACCGTGAAGCCTACTGAGGGTGTCTCTCAATGAAGTGTCCCACTGCAGAGCTCCACCGTTAGGCCTACTGAGGGTGTCTCTCAATGAAGTGTCCCACTGCAGAGCTCCACCGTTAGGCCTACTGAGGGTGTCTCTCAATGAAGGGCCTCACTGCAGAGCTCCACCGTGAAGCCTACTGAGGGTGTCTCTCAATGAAGGGCCCCACTGCAGAGCTCCACCGTGAGGCCTACTGAGGGTGTCTCTCAATGAAGGGCCTCACTGCAGAGCTCCACCGTGAAGCCTACTGAGGGTGTCTCTCAATGAAGGGCCTCACTGCAGAGCTCCACCGTGAAGCCTACTGAGGGTGTCTCTCAATGAAGGGCCTCACTGCAGAGCTCCACCGTGAAGCCTACTGAGGGTGTCTCTCAATGAAGGGCCTCACTGCAGAGCTCCACCGAGAAGCCTACTGAGGGTGTCTCTCAATGAAGTGTCCCACTGCAGAGCTCTGCAACAAGGCCCACTGTGGTTTCACACAGGGCATTTCCTGGACATTAGGACCTACAGAACGACATTCTTCTCTCCATAACAGATCATTGTGAGCTTGTGTCTGATATTAAAATCCCCTTGTGATAGATTTGCCTACCAAATTCATCCATTAGGTAAGAGGTTAGGTAAGTGATGTGAATGCCCGGGGCGGAAGGCTTTTTAACACTCATCCTGGTATTGACCTGCTATGGATGGGGAGTGGACTGCAGGATTGTGTGTACGTACGTGATTGTGTTAGTGTGCACAGTACCTTTCCTCTAACTGTGTGTCTGGCAATGCGCCCGTCACAGTGTGTGTGTGTGTGTGTGTGTGTGTGTGCAAGGCGAGCGTGCACAGGACTGTGTGTGTGTTCTCTGGCTCCCCCCGCAGGCTAACGGAGAATGAGCAGCGTGCCACAGTTCTACGTGACTGTGTGTGTGTTCTCTGGCTCCCCCCGCAGGCTAACGGAGAATGAGCAGCGTCCCACCGTTCTACGTGACTGTGTGTGTGTTCTCTGGCTCCCCCCGCAGGCTAACGGAGAATGAGCAGCGTCCCACAGTTCTACGTGACTGTGTATGTGTTCTCTGGCTCCCCCCGCAGGCTAACGGAGAATGAGCAGCGTGCCACAATTCTGCAACAGGAGAGAGAGTTCTACTCCTGTCAGTCCAGGACTCTACAGCAGTCCCTCACACAGCTCACTGTGGACAAGAAGCAGACCGAGGTGGAACTCAAGGTAAACCACACTGCCTCTCAAATGGCACCCTATTCCCTATATAGTGCACTACCTTTGACCAGAGCTAGGGCACCCTATTCCCTATATCAGAGCTCTCCAACTCTGTCCCAAATCTAGCGCTCCTGATTCTAATAATTAGCTGGTTGATAACTTGAATTAGGTTAGTTATAACTGGGGTTGGAGTGAAAACCTGCAGTAGCGCAGCTCTCCAGGAACAGGGTTGGAGAGCCCTGCCCTAATGAGTACACTACTTTTGACCAGAGCCTCAAACACTAGCATACACATTTTGGCTAGAGCCTAATGGCACCCTATTCCCTATATAGTGCGCTACTTTTGGCCAGAGCTATGGCATCGTAAAGGCTGGCCATGGCTCACATCAACACCGTCATGTGTCTATTTGTCAATAACAGCTGGTGCGCTGATCTCTAATATTAATGAAGTCTCGAGGTATTGCTGGCCTGAGGTAGAGTACCTCATGATAAGCTGTAGACCCACTATTTACCAAGAGAGTTTTCATCTATATTTTTCGTAGCTGTCTATTTACCACCACAAACCGATGCTGGCACTAAGACCACACTCAACGAGGTGTATAAGGCCATAAGCAAACAAGAAAATGCTCATCCAGAACAGGCGCTCCTAGTGGCCGGGGACTTTAATGCAGATAAACTTAAATCCGTTTTACCTCATTTATAAAAGCATGTCAAATGTGCAACCAGAGGAAAAAAAACTCTAGACCACCTTTACTCCACACACAGAGACGCATACAAAGCTCTCCCTCGCCCTCCATTTGGCAAATCTGACCATAATTCTATCCTCCTGATTCCTGCTTACAAGCAAAAACTAAAGCAGGAAGTACCAGTGACTCGCTCAATACGGAAGTGGTCATGACTACGCTATAGGACTGTTTTGCTGCACAGACTGGAATATGTTCCATCATTCATCCAATGGCATTGAGGAGTACACCACCTCAGTCACCGGCTTCATCAATAGGTGCATCGACGACGTCGTCCCCACAGTGACCGTACGTACATATCCCAACCAGAAGCCATGGATTACAGGCAACGTCCGCACCGAGCTAAAGGCTAGAGCTGCCGCTTTCAAGGAGGTGGACACTAACCCGGACGCTTATAAGAAATCCCGTTATGCCCTCAGACGAACCTTCAAACAGGCAAAGCGTCAATACAGGACTAAGATTGAATCCTACTACCCGGCTCTGACGCTCTTTGGATGTGGCAGGGCTTGCAAACTATTACGGACTACAAAGGGAAACCCAGCCACGAGCTGCCCAGTGATGCGAGCCTACCAGACGGGCTAAATGCCTTTTATACTCGCTTTGAGGCAAGCAACAATTAAGCATGCATGAGAGCACCAGCTGTTCCGGACGACTGTGTGATCACGCTTTCCGTAGCCGATGTGTGCAAGACTTTAAACAGGTCAACATTCACAAGGCCGCGGGGCCAGACGGATTACCAGGGTGTGTACTCAGAGCACGCACTGACCAACTGGCAAGTGTCTTCACTTACATTTTCTACCTCTCCCTGACCGAGTCTGTAATCCCTACATGTTTCAAGCAGACCACCATAGTCCCTGTGCCCAAGAACACTAAGGTAACCTGCCTAAATGACTATTGACCCGTAGCACTCACGTCGGTAGCCATGAAGTGCTTTGAAAGGCTGTTCATGGCTCACATCAACACCATCATCCCAGAAACCCTAGACCCACTCCAATTCGCATACCGCCCCAACAGATCCACAGGTGACGCAATCTCAATCGCACTCCACACTACCCTTTCCCACCTGGACAAAAGGAACACTTATGTGAGAATGCTGTCCATTGACTATAGCTCAGCGTTCAACACCATAGTGCCCACAAAGCTCATCATTAAGCTAAGGACCCTAGGACTAAACACCTCCCTCTGCAATTGGATCCTGGATTTGCTGCCAGGTGGTAAGGGTTGGCAACAACACATCTGCCACACTGATCCTCAACACGGGGGCCCCTCAGGGGTGCGTGCTCCCCCCCTCTACTCCCTGTTCACCCACGACTGCGTGGCCAAGCACGACTCCAACACCATCATTAAGTTTGCTGATGACACAACAGTGGTAGGCCTGATCACCGACAACGATGAGACAGCCTATAGGGAGGAGGTCAGAGACCTGGCAGTGTGGTGCCAGGACAACAACCTCTCCCTCAATGTGAGCAAGACAAAGGAGATGATCGTGGACTACAGGAAAAGGAGGGCCGAACAGGCCCCCATTAACATTGATGGGGCTGTAGTGGAGCGGGTCGAGAGTTTTAAGTTCCTTGGTGTCCACACCAAGACGGTCGTGAAGAGGGCACGACAACACCTTTTACCCCTCAGGAGACTGAAAAGATTTGGCATGGGTCCCCAGATCCTCAAAAGGTTCTACAGCTGCACCATCGAGAGCATCACCGCCTGGTATGGCAACTCCTCAGCATCCGACCCTAAGGCGCTACAGAGGGTAGTGCGTACGGCCCAGTACATCACTGGGGCCGAGCTCCCTGCCATCCAGGACCAATATACCAGGCGGTGTCAGAGGAATGCCCTAAAATTTGTCAAAGACTTCAGCCACCCAAGTCACAGGCTGTTCTCTCTGCTACTGCACGGCAAGCGGTACCGATGCACCAAGTCTGGAACCAACAGGACCCTGAACAGCTTCTACCCCCAAGCCATAAGACTACTGAATAGTTAGTTAAATAGTTAACCAAAAGCTACCCTGACTATCTGCATTGGCTACAGTTACAGTTATTCAAACAGGGCTCTAAATGAAAAATAAAATCGACCTCAAATTACCACTGGTACTCCCAACTTAAAAGTTCGGAGCACAACATGAAATTTAGGAGCACGACATTACATTTAGGAGCACGACATTACATTTAGGATCACCAGAAAACCAGATAGTTTGAATTTATTGACATACATACAGCCTATGCGGGCAGGCCACTGCTGTAAACTAAATTCACTGTCATGTTCGTGGAACCAGTCCTGGACAATCCTAGCCTTGTGGCTTGGGGGCAAAAAATATACTTTTGCAGATGGATACGCTGCTGCCATGAAGGGGTGCACCTGATTGGCAATGATGGTTAGATATCCTGTGGCATTCAAACGTTGCTCCACTTTTATCAAGGGGCCCAATGTGTGCCATGAAAACACACCCCACACCATCACACCATCACCACCAGCCTGCAATGTTGACACGTGGCACGATGGATGCATGTACTCATGTGGTTTTCTTCATACCCTAGCCCTCCCATCAGCGTGAAAACAGCAGGAACCAGGATTCATCAGACCAGGCAATGTTTTTTTCAATTCTCCAGTGTCCACTGTTCTCGATCCATAGCCCACTGCTACCGAAGTTTCTTGTTTTTTTGCTGAAATTAGTGGAACTCTGTAAGGTGGTCGGCTGCCATACCCCATTCGTGTCAAGGCACGACGAATGATGCATTATCTTTTGGGTCTTTGGACACCAATGTTGTACTGGACTGTCAGTTGACTAACTGTAGCCCATCTGTTGTTCTGCACAACTAGTATCAGCCTCCTTTGTCCTCTTTCCTCAGTTACCTGTGTTTGACCGCTGGTCTGCCGTTGGCTGGATGTCCTTTGGGTGGTGGGACCATCACTGGTCTGCCGTTGGCTGGATGTCCTTTGGGTGGTGGGACCATCACTGGTCTGCCGTTGGCTGGATGTCCTTTGGGTGGTGGGACCGTTCTTGATACACACGGGAAACTGTTGAGTGTGAAAAACACAGCAGCGTTGCAGTTCTTGACACAATCAAACCGGTGCGCCTGGCACCTACTACCATACCCCGTTCAAAGGCACATAAATATTTTGTCTTGCCCATTCATCCTCTGAATGGCACACATACACAATCCATGTCTTAATTGTCTCAAGGCTAAAAAAATACTTCTTTAACCTGTCTCCTCCCCCTTTCATCTACACTGATTGAAGTGGATTTAACAGGTGACATCTATAAGGGATCATAGCTTTCACCTGGATTCACCTGGTCAGTCTATGTCATGGAAAGAGAATGTTTTGTACACTCAGTGTATAATGGGCATATATTAATTCTAGACACTTTTGAAGCACACGTTGTGTCCTAGAAACTAATATGTAACACTGTAAAGACCTGAGTTTATTATAAAAGATCAAAGGTTGATAAGAATACCTGTCAATTAAATTACAAAGTCATTTGTGGAATATTAGGTTTCTACATTGTGTAAAAGGACTATTTTCCTATTGAGATGCTTTACATTGAAAAATTGTACACTGTCTCTTTAAGAACTTCAGGTTTGCGACGACAACGTGCAAGAGATCTGTCATTCATTCATTGCTATGATCATGGATCTCCTGAAGAGATCCTTCCTTTCTTTCTGTGTCCCCAAATGTTTGGACGTACCGGTGAAGTTACCAGGTTGTTAGCTAGCTAGCCAATGAGGTAACTGAACAAAGTGTGAACAAATGGTAAACGACTCGCAAGTAGTTTCCAAATTTTAAGAGGGGTCAGATCTTTTGACCTGGTTGGGCTACACAACTAGCCCTCACAGTCTCACGTCAGAATTAGACGTTCATCCATGTTCAACATCACATTTCGAAGTGTTTAAGGTGAAGTTTAGGCATTAACTCCACATTTTTAAGGTTAGGTTAAGTTTAGGCATTAACTCCGAATGGTTAAGGTAAGGTTTGGGATAGGCTTCAAACTAAAATCTAAAAAATTACTTTCTATCGCTGGATTGGAACTTGCAACTTTTGGAATCAGAGGCAGATGCTTACGCCTATCCACTATCCCGTCCACAAGGTCACTGTTGCCCCCTAGTGGCTGGTTTCCACATCACCTCCCGACGTCCTCAGCCATGGATGGAAAGTATGAAAAAAAAAAAAAAAATGTATGCACTCACTAACTGTA